CCCGCCTTCGCGTGTTGCCGGGGCCCCTCTTTCTTTTTTTTTTTTTTTTTTTTTTTTTTAATGACTTGGCCTAAAGGCCTCGGTGGAGTCATCATATGACTGATAAAACAAGAAATTTCATGGTGGCCGAGACTTGAGCACGGTACTGTCAACAGCAGTCGCATCTAGGATCGATCCAAAACAAAAATATTTTGTGTCAAGGGTACTACATGCATCTCTTTTTATTTATTTTTTCAATGGAAAATGGCATACACTTTGCCTGAATTGTTCGATTGACATTTTGCGTATTGGTTGTGTCTGTCCACTGCTTGACAAATGAATTGTTTAATTATTTTGAACGAATTATGATGATATGCACCTTACGATTTTGTTGCTTCGACCAAAAATTGACATGTCCTGATCATAAAATATGACAATAATGTCATTTCATGAGTAATTACCACCCCTACTGTGAATGTGAGCAAAGTATCAATACAAAATATTTGATTTTATTTTTCTGTAACTTGCCGATAAGTGGTGGGGACTAACTAACATGGTACTAGAGACGATGCGAAACACTGAATCAGGCTCCATCCAGGTTGCAATCGAACATGTCATTTCACAATTTCCACTGGAATTGCTGCATGCGACGACCTAACTATCTAGCAAATAGGTTTTTCCCCTCTTTCGATAATGTGGTGACATGATCGTTTAAAAAAAAAAAAAAATTAAAGAAAGCCTGCAGCGGTTATTTGTTCGCCATCCAAAATGATGCAGCCGCAGGGGAGAAGTCTGTTTTATACATCATCAACAAATGAGACAGCACGTTCGCAACCGGGGGAACGCTCGAGCTCCATAAATTTATAATGCTGCAGACAGTACAGTATAAAGTGTTTGCTATATCAAATGTGTTCTGGCTTTGGAAAGAATGCTTTTGTGATGTATATTTTTGCCCGGGGGAAGGTTAGATTTCCCCAAGCCTGAAGGTATTGGCTCTGTAAGTCTTCCAAAGAAGCCGCCGCGCGCAAGCTTGTCAGGGCTCCTCACGGTGAGGCAGAATGAGAGAGAATGGATTATATCTAATACCGCAAAGTCTAATTTGACATACCTCTCCTTCCCTTCCCCTGGGTCCCACTTGGCCCTGATGCAAGAAAGAAAAGAGAGCAGAGAGGTTCGGGGGATGAAAAAGGAGACGGGGAAGAAATGGTGAAACATTAGAAATGAGTGCTTACATATCAAAAGCTGAGACGGGAGTGTCAGAGGAGCGACGCTCGCAGCTCTGCGTTAGGGATGCAGAGCTGCAACCGCCGCACGCGCACACCCGACGTCAAAGCCCTCGGCTTACACAACGTTTTGGATTGCTTATTCCAATGCAATCTCCAACACTCCTTTTGTATTTGAACGTAATGTCATGAAAAATGCATTTGTGATTCTTTTATTCTTTTGAAAACAGCATCTGCCGCGAACACCCATTCTGTCGGGCTCTTTTGCCGAATTAAACACTTGAACATGTCGCCGAGACTCTCGGAGCGCTCAATTTCCCCCCCCGAAAATACCTTATTTTCGTTGTAATGAATCCTTTCTGACGGCGGGTGTCATGTTTCACAAATGACTGTTGCCTCTATGGAGGCCCTTTCATTCACAGGCATGGATCGCAAACATGATTTGGATTAGCGATGATATTGCGAGCGGAAATAATGTCGCATTGCAAATCAAAGCTTGCAAATGACATTTTTTTTTCTAAACAGGCCCCTTGGCGAGTAATTTTATCCATCCAAGTGCTGAAGGAAGAAAATAAGCTTGTTCTGTTCAAAGTATTTAAACATGTGTCTTTGGAGATTACTTTTTAGATTAGATGTTTAATGAACCAATATAGTGGCAACTGTTTGGTAGCAAACACTGAGGCAAGTTCACTCGGTTGTGCTGCGTTGGCCTGAATTTAATTCCCGAGCACAATGCTTCTTGCCTCCCTGCTGGATGATGAACAAAACAAGTGAACTAAAGCAAAAAAAAAAGTCCTTGATGACAACTAAAATGACAACTTCACTCCCATTATATTTGTAACGGTGTCTAACAACACCGAAAATGAATAATACATTCTGATTGTTGTTCCAGTTGTTATGAATTGACTTGAATGCACTCAAATGTCCTGATTCGGAAACACAGAGCTGAATCGAACAGGAAGAGCAGCTGGGGAGTCTTAGCAACCACCTGCGCAGCGCCAACATACAGTCTACGGCATGAACATTGCCTTGAAGCCTTTACGACTCCCGCCTGGAGTGTTCATGTTCACCGGCTGCTGAGCTTCCCCAGTTTGTGGACCCCGCGCGTGTGATTTGGATCGTGACAAGTTGGACCTGATTCACACGGCCTACTCAAAGGCGTCGGCTCGCCCATGCCCGCCGCTGACACTCGGTTATATTTTTTGACTCTACATTTTCACTGGACTACAATGAGGAAAATGACATTTTGCTGCAATGCATGTGAAGTGCTCACGCTGCAGCTTTGTATGGACCGTGTCGGATAACTCAAAAGGCACAGCTGGTCGAAACCGAGGTGGCACAAAAACGTGCAGAAGCTCCCACGGTGAAAATGTCTAAATTGTGTCCAAAGTGTCAAGATTTTGTGTGGCCACCATAAAGTACCAGCACTGTTCAACGGAGCTTCACGGGTTGCCGCTGGAATCTGGCAATGGGGACAAAAGCTCGGGAGGGGCTGATGTGCGAAGAGGCAAGAGGTGTGCGTCAAGCTCGGACAAACTTGTGGAAAAAAAAAAATTACGTTTCCCCGCGTAATCGTCTGTCGAGTTGGAACTCTTTTATTGAGCTGGGTCATGCTGCCCACAAATAGATTCAGCACCATGTGAATCAGGTCCAACGTTTTGGATTCTCACTTCGTCTCGCATTATTTTTGCAAATTTCAATCGTAGCATTCCGCGCTGTTCTAAAAATATCATACTCATAAAAGATTGGGACTCCTTTTATATAGTCTTTGCAGCCGAGAAGAAAAAAAAAAGTCTTCTAAACCACACCGTACTGATTCAGCCGCGTAAGAATTAGGAAGTTTTCCAGAAGACAAATCGTCCTGCACATTTCAGCGGTGACACATTTGTGATTCGCCGCCGATATATTTCGCTTTGGGAGCTTGCCGCATGGAGATCTGGCCCTGCCGCTCAACACCGGCTTTCCAGAGTCAACATTTAACCTGCACACCGAAAAATAGAATCGCTTTACGTTTCTCAGGTGTCACGGCCTTAGATTACACAACTATATCTCCATGCGATACACGTGCCGGCGGCGAACGCAAAAATAAACGCACATGAACTTGCATGCGCACACGCACGTGCACTGATTGGATTCATTGTCTAATCCCTCTCGGGGGATGTGACGATCAATACCGGGGTAATCAATACTTGGACTGGGTCTCAAATGGAACTTATTCAGTGTCATTAGGAAAATAATGAAATACAAATCTTGGCTTGGAAGTGGGAAATCGCAGAACACTCAGAAATGTCTGTCATCTTATCCTCGCGTGATGGAGAGTCATGGCCTCCATGTTTCAAGATTCTACTGTAGACTCAGTCACCAGTGCAAGATGTTTGATGGGGAAAAAAAAATGATAATGATTATATCGTATTCTTTGAAGATGGTGGAATGTAGTTGATATATACGGTATATTTTTTATGAAACCAAAAGTGTACTAAAACATGAAGCTAACTACATGATAGAAACCAGAATAGATTCCTCACCAGACATGATCTGGACGAATCTGCGCTAATTAAGAACATCCCTGAATAATCTGACCAAATTCAGTCATGGAAAGCAGTTTAACAACATGTAACTTGTTAGGACATGTACGTTCATCTGGTATGATTTGCAATACATGTGAGCAATTGGGGTTACTGTGACTGATTCAAGGGCACGTCAGCAGTGGTTTGGGAAGAGATGATATTTCTTAAAAAAGCAGTCCAATTCCCATAATATTGCAGAGACTTGTTTTGTGTTCCTTTTTTTTAAATACCATTTTCAACAAAATTGGGGAAAAAAAAAAAAGAAACAATATGATTGGGGTTCAGCATGGGCACGGTTCCCGCTTTGACAGGCTTTGGGTAGAAATAGGAGCCCCCAAGCCGCATTAAAAGGCTGTAACTCCGAAATTAGGTCTTGAAGACAAGACATTGTTCTTCCGGAGGATTTTGCCTCATCCCCGTGCCCTTGTGCAGACACTTGTTCTCCATAAACTCATTAAGATTCACCCAAACACACATTCCCATTTTCAGTCCCTCTGCAGCAGCAAAAAAAACAAAAAAAAAACATAAGCATTACCGTCACCTAGTGGAAGCAGAAGAAGACGCCCGCACTTACAGGTATAGCTGGAGTTCCCGGCTCGCCATCTCCCCCTCGGTCCCCCTGCGTTGAGACACATCACAATTAGGGAAATGTTTGCGTCTGTTTGTTTACATCCGACGCATACCGTATTTCTTCTTATGTTGTGTTTTGTGTGCGTAGATGAGATAATATATGCAGCAACTGATGGAAACACGCTTGCGTGTTAAAAATGAAATAAAAAAATAAAAAAATGGAGAGACAGAGAGAGGAGAAAAGGTCATGCTTACCTCGAGCAGCCAATAACAGAAACCCACAGAGAGAAAGGATAAGAACTAGCTCGCGGTAACCTTTAACAAACCCGACTCTTTCTGTCTCGTATGTGACTTACAAAAGACACGTCGGCAAGCTCTCATACTCACTCGTCTCCTTCCCTTCCCATCACACGCTGCATCAAGCAAATTTTATCGCATGCTTTGACTTCTTAATTTGAAAGCGAGACTATATCATGCCATCGACTTAAGGTTGGGCAGGAATCTTGTCGCATCGTGATCAGTCCAGAGTTGAAGGACAATTAAGGCACCAACATTGGCTGATTTATTTTCTTTGTTTTCACGGACAAGATCGTAAAGCGCCATACAATTCCAATCATTCTGTTCAAACGGTGCATTGTTTAATGGGATTTTTATTTATTTCTTCATTTTTCATAACATGTATGCTTTTCTTTGATCTACCGCCGCTCACAGCAATTAGCTTGATGTTGCCATGTCGCTCACTTTTCTTCCCTTGTTTTCTCGATGGCGAAAACGGTTTTTTGGTAACAGACCTGTGTGTATGTATTTGTATGAAATGACCCGTGCACTGCTTATATGTGTGATTAACAGTGATGAACCAAATGTAACCGATTGTAGCTAACGGGTGGAAATTCAACAAACAGCCACAAATGAATTGCAATAGGCAAATGTATCGGTATGCTTATACGGTATCTCGTCGATGCATGTACCAATGGCGTAGTATATTATCCGCCTCCTTTTAAGAGCAATAAGTTGGTTCACTGTCCTGTTGTCATGATTCGATGTGTTACTTTCATGAAGGAGGAAAGATGGGCATAAATACTGCAGATAGAGAGCTGGTCCAAAGTACTGCAAAGGCAAAAGACCTCAACTGCCTCCCGGTGGCTGGCTGCGGTACAAGTGTATCCCCACCCCCCTCCCTCCCATCAGTGTTGGCAGATGGGGAAAAAAAAAAATGTAACATCTCAGTACTTAGTGAATTAGAAGGGGATTTCTGTGTTGTCCTATATTATTACAAATGTTAAATGTACATTTTTCAAAAATAGATCTCGACCAAAAAAAAAAAAAAAGTATAAAGTCATTGCTCACAGCCGCTCTCAACGAAATTGTTGTCGAGAAATGTATAAGTTCCTTTCTGACAAGTGCTGTTGTTTAAGCGGAGAAGAGTTCTAAAACCAGTGTTCCGGAACTGTCATTGTCTGTTTCAAAGCTATTAAAAACTTGGCAGACTTTGCTTCTAAATGATGCATGACAGCTTCCCCTGTATATTTTGCCTTTGGTAGGCTTTTTGTGGTGGCAATTAGGGAAATTCAAGACTTGACTTTGCACATGAACGAATACCATGTTCGTACTTTATTCGGCTTGCACATTCTTGTTGTTTCAATGTTCATTGTTAGAGAATGTCTCAAAAACTCTCCAATAACAACAAGTTGTTAGATTGATCGCTTTCGGGATCTGAGTGCTCGCTATGGTGACAAAGTCACTACCTAAGTTTTATGACTCGGATCATGAGCACATAATGCAGTAAAGTGGCGTGGGTCATCAATGTCTCATTTATATGACTATGCTATGCTATGTTTAAAAAAAAAAAAAAAGTGACTCAACGACTATGTTAACATTTCATATGTGAAGTATTTGTCACAAGCAAAAGCGAGTTGCTGAGGAAATAACAAACCAGAAGTAATGTACCTTATTTCCTTTTGGGCCAGGCTTTCCCACTTCTCCCTACAGAAAACATTTATGTTAATACCTACAACAAGAATCCAAAGAAAACAAAACGATTGGATGTAAAACAAGTAGAATTAGAATTATCTATGATGCCCTTTGGTGCAATGCAGCGAGGACATGAAGCCGAATCTACGTCATTAAAGTAAAAAGAGTCATACGCGACATGGAAAACCAAACATGTCGATGCCCCATAGCAAACCAATAAATTATTCATCAAGCTTGAAATTTAAGGCCATCTTTTACTTAAGGCGAAAACAGTTTTGCTCACACGTAGCGTTAGGGACTCTTACCCAATGACCTTTGTACCCTGGATGGCCTGGGGCACCTGGCAGCCCTGGAAAACCTGGCTCCCCTGTTGAGCCCTGGAAATGTACATTTGGAAAAACAAACAAAAAAAAATAAACGTACATTCATTTGGTGGTGTGCTCTTAAATATTTCTACGCTAAAATACGTGCTGAGGAAGCACTGGTATACTGTAGCACAGCCAATCCCTGTGATGACTTCTTAAATTGATCATGCTGAAGTGTGCCTGTTGCATATGGTTGAATTTGAAAAAGAAAGAAAAAAAAAACATTCAGGCTTACAGTTACCGGGTTACGCTTTTTTTAATTTATGAGTAACGGAGCTTAATATGCGTTGGATCACACATCTGTCTCACAGTCGAAGGTGTCCAAGGGCTCTCACGTTCCTCCCAGGTTAAAAACAAATGCATGTTAGGTTCGTTGAAGACTTTAAACTGGTGAACGTGAGTGTGAATGTTTATTTATCTCAATGTGCTTCGTGCGTTAACTGGGGAGGAGTTCAGGATGTACCCCCTCTTCTCCTTTGAGGTTAACAGTGATAAACTCCAGCTCACCCGTGATCTGAGAATTATTTTCCCCCTGAACACATTTTTTTTTCTCCCCTCCAACTGAGTTGTACAGGTTACAGGTCACATTGTTTCGACTTTTTTTTTTGTATCTGCTGAACAGTAGATACTGAAGGTCAGACCTTAGCAATGGAAGAAAGTCTATAATCTGATCAACTCACCTTCTGCCCTGGTGAACCGAGACAAGTATTAACCCGTGCATCAGCGCAGTTCCCCTTGAAGAAAACACACACGGTGTTTGTTAGAGGCAACAACGTAGCATGCAAGTGAGTGAGGGTGGACCATACAGCTAGTTGCATTCGATATAGCATGGTTTAAATGGCCATTTAAAGAGGGATAATAGACCTGAAAATGATCGTAAATGTGTAGTAATTGCACTCCCGGTCCATTACAGGTCTCATTCCTTGTATAAAAGCACCAAAAGCGCCAATCTCAGTATTTCAGCGGAATCCCAGATAGCTTTCTCTATTTTCGACAGAAATACTTTGTGAATGAAATGAAGCTATTTTGTCACCCGATGCTCCGCACAATAACAATTGAGTTTTTGTTTTTTTTTACCCCCCCCCCCATTATGGATTTGCTTCATCTGCAATGCCTCCAATCTGAACATCCTTGCAGCCAAATGACCTCTGTCTTCCAACACTATAATGGGTGCCAACGATTGGAATCGAACTTCCAAAAAGCTCCGCCGACGCCTGCACCGAGCGTGGAAATGAGTTCTTATGATGACGAAATCTAAGTGGATTTTACAACAACACCATAATGAAAACCAAACAGAGATTGTGTTTCTTCTGTGATTAAGGGCTTTCAATAGCTTTTGGAAACCTTTCAATGATGGCATCGATTGATAAGAATGACCATAAAACCAATTGCAAACTTGCTAGTTCACTCGAAACTCATCTACTCTGTTAATTGAAAGTGTCGTAAAGCATTCAGAAAAATGTCACGCAAATGTGCCATTTATTTTGTGCTGGCTGATTGAATTGTCTAATGATGAATTACCATTCTTGTTAAAACAAGCGGGATCGGCCTTCTAGGAAAAAAAAAAACAAAAATCAATTTACTCCACCACCTCCTCCTGTTCCTATCGTGCATCCGCTATCTCTGTGCTGCATCGTGTAAACACACTGAAAAAAAACGGCATGGGGCATTCCAAGGTCATGGACATATCAGCGTGTCGTGCACCTCCTTCTTCAATTGTGATGGAATCACAAGCTCTTAACGTATATTTTATCAATACTATGACTGTGTTGAAGGATTTAGACCCCCAATAAAGGTTGACATGTGCGTCCGTGTGTTTGAATTCCAAGTGCCAACAGAATGGCGATTTTCATATGGTCAAGACAGGCTGACAATTTGATTTCCAAACCGGCTTACTCCATCCCTGCCAAATAAGCAAAATGAAGTTTTCCTCCACAAGAATGTAACATGATTACGGAAGGAGTTGGGGATATTTGAACAGGCTGAGAATAGAGCCGGTCGACTGGGGAGTCCCATTAGCATAATAACTAATGATGACGTTCAACGCACAGACCCTGCGACGATCTTGGCTGATCTCTGCCGGCAGTCTCTGGGGGTCCATGGTAGTGAGGGTGGATATTGGAAGGGAAAGAGGGTGGGGGGGAGAAAGACGAGGGAGTGATGCGAGGGGGACGAGAGAGTAAAGGGATGAGGAGAGGGAAGAGAGAGTTGGATGAAAGAGACACACTGTGCTAAGGGCTGAATGTGACAGAGTGCATGACGGCTTAGTCAGGAGGCACTGGGGGAGAAATGAGATGGCTCAGGTCCACGCGCACGCATGCGCCGCATTTGCATTCTGGCAAAGGCGCACACATTGCCGAATCTTAAGCTACCAAACGGAGTGCTGCATTGAGAGGCCGGCTCGCGGCGGTGTATTTGATGAGCAAGTTGTGACCTCCGTGGTCTTTTTTTTTTTTTTAAATGGTCTTTTTCAATAATGCAGCATTTTTAAAATCTGTTTTCAAATGTCATATCATTTTTTGGTTTACTTTGAGTGACATTATCCATCTGCTGATCAGACATTGTAGATTATTATTTTGGCAAGAATAATTCTAACTGGTCACGACAACAACATCGAAGCAATACGAATCACGAATGGGAACATTGGCAGCACTGTGATTGAAACGCTAAAAATGTTGACTGCCAAAACTTCTAACCTCAAGTGCACCTCGCCCACGCTCCCACCCTCAAACAACTTGAATAACAAGTTTGTGTCTGTAGACCAAAAAAAAAAAAAAAAAACTGTGTGTGTGATGATTGACTCTCAGGGGGGATACCAAGTCGGCGATAATAGTGGGGGAGGGAAGTCTGATGACTGTGTAATCATACAATTTTGATTTTAGGGATGAAAATATGTTAATTGCAGCGGAGCGACACATCTGATGTGATGGTTAAAAAAAAAAAAAAAAGACTATAATTACTCAACTCCACATTGCAGATTTCCATTTAATGTATAAATAAGCAGGCAGGTGTTAATTCGACGGCATAGTTGCTTTTCAGGTCCAAAATGGCTACAATTTAACTTAACTGTATTGCACAGCACGATAATATTCGGACATTTAATTGAAAGGTGAGTTTCGTTCTATTCATCTTTCTCCCTACTTAACTTCCAAAATAAGTCCAGGGACCAAAAAGAGTTTAAGGAAGAACAGCATATATGGCGTTCGAAACACACACAACCGTCCCACCGCATTCTGATCCCTTCAATTCGCCGTAGGATAAAATATTGGAAACCGGACATGCCACTTGATTTATTTTCCATTTATTCGGGTCTAACAATAGCCGGGCCTTTTGGAGTCCGTGAGACTTTGTCTTACACTGTGGTGCGCGCCAGACATCTTTCATGATGTGGTCTGCTGGGCAGCAGCATCTCGACAAAAGACAAAAGCGGGATTAACAAACGGAGTGGTGCGCCAGCTCTGTCCTGAATCTGCCCCTGGACCCAGCGGACGTGGGGGTGTCTAAGAGGTGAACGGCGGCCAAGCTGCCGACCCGCGCCGCGTACTCTGACAGGCACCCACAGTGCCAGAAAGACCCATGGATGCTACGGTAATTAAACATTGCTCCAAGTCATCCTTGGAGCTCGAGCATATTCCAATTGACTGAAAGCGAAAGGTGGACTATTCCTGAACGAGTCAATCAGGGACAGGCAAATATTCACACTCACATTTGCGCCATTTACTTCTACGTAGTGGGTACCACATTTTTTTTTGCCCTGCATGGAAGTCAAACATATTAACTTCACTTTATGTAACACCTCTATTGCATTATCTTGATAGGTCGTGCTATTTTCTCTCACGTGGGGCCATATGTCATTAAAAAAAAAAAAAAGTACTGTGAGGCTGCTTTATTGTCCTGCCCTCTAAGTCTACCACTATGTCACAAGAGGGCAGCAAAGCAGAGGACAAAATGCATAATCATCCACATGGTTCAAAAACATTGGGGAGGTGGACAAAGCAACTGCAGCCAGCAATTCATCCTCATAATGTCACATTGTGCTCGTGCTACTGCCACGATATTATTGAAAGCCTTCACCGATGACGGGCTACACAATTATGCACAATTGTGCTGCCGAAGAGTGCTGGGTTTTTTTGTTTGTTTGTTTTTTTTCCCCCCCAACAATCTGAAAATTGTCAAATAAGTCTTGAAGCTAATTCTTTCAAAACTTCACAGCAAAGTGGAACCAACCGGTGGTCCTTGTATCCCAGGTGGTCCTTGGAACCCTTTCTCTCCCTGCAAAAAAACACAATGGTGCATTTTTTTTTTTAAGTAATCGTCATCATTCTGCCAAGATTCATCCAGGTTTGCCGTTTACCTGAGGTCCACGTGGGCCGGCTTCTCCTGGTGGTCCCTGGACACCCTGATGATGTCAGAGCAACATGTTATGTCATTTTCAAGCCATCGATCCATCATCAAACCATACCACCATATTGAAGGTAAATACTGAATATGAAACTAACTAATAAGAACGCATTTTTACAATTGCATCTTTGTTGTTGTGTTTGTTTTCTTGTGATGGGAATCAGTTTCAAGTGGGCCAAAAAAAACATACCAACAAACTGCAAAGGACAAAAAAAAAAGTGGACATCTTTGGACAATTTGTATTGGTCACTTGTTGTGAATGGTGCCATTCACGTCCTTTTTCAAAAAATAGCAAGTTGTGCAAAACGCGCTCAAACCTTGAACAGGACACATGCAGTCAAGTCTTCAGCGAGGGTCAAGTTAAGTTCAGCTGCTAAGGTTATATAGTGCATTTAAAGTTCATGCTGACGTTCCATAGCCTTAATATCCCGAAAGAGTGGATGCTCGCCACTGAATTGAACTCATAAGACTCCTTAACCTTCCCTCTTCTGATGATCAGACTGCAGCGAATGGACAGCTTTCAGGTGTCTGAATAAAGTGAAGTATTGGGAAAATTCATTAGGTCTGTATATTAGCGAAGAAATAAGAAAGTGTTGGACTAAATACACACTGCTTTCCTTTAAACTAAAACATCAAAGCGGAAGATTTTAAAAAAAAAAAGGCGGAGGGGGATTTGGCTTTGCGAGTTGAGCATTCCAGTCGTTTTCTATAACACTCGGGTGAGATAGAAACTTTCTGAAACTTTGACTTGGGGTGGGGGGGACTTCTTTTTGTTCAGCTCAATGTAAATGTACATTTGCTTTCACACAAACAGGTTTTTTTTTTCTTGTTTGGTGTCGCCGCATCACAGACAGACAGATTTATTTCCTCCACCATGTTATAATTACTTCTGACTGCACCTTGTCCGCGTGCGTAGGCCCGAGACAGCTCTTGCCATCCAATTTCCCAGTATTTGCGTGTGTGTTTGCTTAAAGGCAGGCTGTAAGTGTACCGGTGTTTGTACTGCAAAAATAAAGCATGCGAGTTCTCATGCTGATGTCCTAATGACTCTTTTCCTTCAAATCTCACGTGTGCCCAGTTCACATAAAAATAGCGCGGCGCCCCTCTCCACAAAACGCTGGGTTAACGGCAACTTTGTTTTGTTGACATGTTCTGCAAGTCACGCTCTTTTGATCGCACAGAATTTCATGTTGATTTTATTACACCCCTCGGTGTAATGCAATATGAAATATCGGTCCCCCGTGTACTCACCGGGGCTCCTGGATCTCCAACAGCACCAGGATCACCCTAAGGACATGACACATGTGTCAGCGCTTTTACAAGATGTGCTTCCTGAATAATGTGTGATGATTATCTAAGATTTTGTCGGGTAAGCTTGTCAACACTGCCAAAAAAGAGGATAAGATTAGAAGGACTCATCAAACACATCCTGAGAAGAGACAAGAGCGGGTAGTTTAGAATTAAATGTCGAGTTCCTGTTGCTGCAGTCTGCCCCGTCAAGGTTTGGAAACACAAAGAGCACGAACACGAGACTGACTGTCCCCCGACAGAGGACAAAACGATCCACCTTTTAAATATATAGCAACAAATTTGAGTGTACTGTGTACAAATTGTAGACCCACAATCTGGCAACATATAATTGAGGTGACAAATGTGCCAATAACATTGTTGCTAACATCAGATGAAAAAAATAAATGAATAAAAGGGGAATGCACATGACATAAAACATGACATAAAAACAAACAGTCGTTTTCATTTTGGAAAGATATTCATTTAGGACACCGTATTCATCAGAATTTTATATACAATCGACAAAAATCTTTATGTCTATCAGTAAGACTGTATCAACCAATCAGCTGCCGCGCTTTGTCTCATTTGTGATGAAACGAGCCATCCATCTATGCATTCCCTATAGCTTGCTTGACCTCCTTTGTTCCAAAGTTTACATTCCGTCTCGTCTCTCGTTTTCAACTCCCGCCTCGAGTTTGCCTCCCTGCCGCTAATTCGTGCCACCTCACTGAAAAATGCTCACTACGGACTGCAGAGTATCATTTCATGACTCTTGTGCTGTGACGCACGGACACAGAGTTTGTGGGGAACCTTGTGGCCAGCGGAACAACAAACTAACACATGCCGTACCACAACACGGCGTATAATTAAAGTTGCAACCAGGCCTCGGTCACAAGATTCGACTGCTTGGTTTTGCTCTCCGACCTTTCAGTACTTTTATGTTGTTTGTTGAACAGCTGCAGTATACCATGACTGGCTTGCCGGGGAATTTGTTCCAATGTGCTTCAGTGGCAATGAACATGTGAAACGGGCTTTTAAACGAATCTCATGTCGCTGGAGTTGGGTGCAATCCTACTCTGTGTATTTTGCTATTGTCACCACTTTTAGAAAAATACAATTAAAAAAAAATAGATCTTGTTTAAAAATTGCCTTTGAAAACACTGACCGTATGTATGTCATACTTTTAATCTATTGTCTGTTTTAATGCTAACATATTCAAAGCATGTCTCAGATCACCCTACTGAGCAACTGCGGATGGATGCTGTTTTACTCTCATTTGCGTCACGGACTGGGTGAACTGGAGATGATCCCAAATGACTTTGAGCAAAAAGCTGAAAAAAAAACACAAACAAAAAATACGTACACAGCAACTTAATTCTACGGAACATACGGAAAATAAAAATGTGCAATAATTCCACTGATGGCACTTGCGTAGTACCTGTCTACTTGAATGCCACTCAAACTATACCCTTGCTTCATTTGCCAAGTCGCGCTGACATTCAATCGTTAAGTCAACATTTGAACCCGTCCAACCTATTTACTGAACTGAACTTGAGTAAACAACTAGCTTGTCTTTCAAATAGCCTTACAAGCTTAGGTCAATGGGAAAAATGAATCTACTGTAATTCCATGTCAAACTCAAATCCGTCACCCCAAGGTGCAACATATTAAACGGTGTATTCATCCACCGAAATAAAATGTTTTCCACCTCTTGGGACTTGAAGTCGACCCCAAGGCATTATCAGGTTGTTTCAGTACACAGCTTATAGTATGTGAAACGGCATGGGTATACAGTAAAGGCTTTTTTATTTGATTTTCTGCACACAGTAAAGATTCCAACTTCACCAACCATGTATTTGAAGTTAAAAAAAAAAAAAAATGCGGTATGCTGGCAGGGAAGAAACAAGTGAATTAGCTCTCTACAACATCAGTTTTTCCCCTTCAAAGTACGAGGAGCAGCAGACTGCATAATTATAAAGTCAAGAAGCAACGCAATATATGTCATACGTCTCTGGGTGTGTAAAGTAAGAGCAAATATAGAAGAACAGTGGCACTGGCACTTTCCATTTATTGAACGGACTTTGCTGTATATTGCTCCAGCTAGAGAGACGGGTTCACATGTTTCGGGTTAAATACTGTCCACTGGAGCTGGAGACCTGACATGAGCATTAATACATTGAAAGGGCAGCTGAACAATGTATAACCGTGCAATACATTTTACCTGCTTTGCTTTACGGCATGAATAAAAGGTCACATCGGTTTCACTTTCCTGCCCTTTATTATAGTGTGGCAATGGACTGCGCAGATAATCAGACTAAAAAGCTTGCCCATATGTGGTTGGAACGATGTGATGCACGTTACCGCCACCTGCAGTCCTGTGCCAGTAATGCCCAGCTATAGCTTATGAAGTGCCCATGAATTCGGTTTGGACTTTAGTATGCAAGGCCAGTATCTCGTTCTCATGATTATCACCAACGGCCTTCATGATATCTGTAATTAATTGCTCGACTAATTAGACTATGGGACTACAGTTAAGTGTTGGGTGTATTGTCTCTTGTTCATTTGGAGAATATTGCTCATGTTTGCACTCTCAAACGTATTTGCGTTTGTATTAATGTGTTGTCCTTTGGGAGCTATACAAAGGACTTTACATTATCAAGCCATCCCCCGGTACGACTATTGGTGTGATTAATTCATCATAAATATTGTACTGAAAGTTATCATTCTTCAACTTAAATGTGTGTTCTGTAAATGTCCCGCGAGAATGTTTAAAAGTCCTGAACTTGATTACTTCCAATGGATATTGTGAAAAAAATTACTAAGAATTTGACAAATGACATGGGCAAAGAGTGTTTTCTGAAAAAAGCAACTCGGCTACTCCTTGTGGAGGCTTTATAAGAGATGCAAATGGGATACAGGTTGGCGGTGTGTTACAAATCGAAAAGTTAGAATTGCTCTGGACTCTGAATCAGGAGACAAGAAAAGAGTTATAAAAAATATTGTCATTACACTAATTTGCCCCAAAAGGGACAAGTGTTACTTTCCTAAGCAACATAATTTCAGGCATTCAACATTTTCCCAAATTGAGCGTTTGATCGGTGGAGAAGCCCCCCCAAAAAAACAAAAACCGTTTGATCAGCTTCAAGTTGCAAAGAGGTTGTAATTGTACTTGCATTAATTACAAGAGGAGTGGAGATAGAGGTAACATCTTTCTGTCACATGGAATGTCAAAAATGTTTAATAACAGAGCTGATCAGCTTTCTTGACATTCCGGTGTTTGCAAGCTTTGTGATTTTACAGTGGGAAAGCAAATAGATGCATACATAGCATGATTAAAGCCAACGTTTCGCACCTTATATGGTGTACTCAAGTTCAAGCCTCATTAAGAGTCAGTGGAGCCCTTCATGAATGGGGCCAGACATGTTTTACAGTTGACGGGAGATTTTTCTTCAGGCGATGCGTTTGTTTGATCTGGCAAGACTGACTTCTGGGTGTTCTTACAAACTTGCAACAGCTAAACTAGTAGCAAGGCAAGTGGATTCCAGTCAAAGTTGGCTGCGCAGCCTCTGAAAGCCACCTCAACATGTTGAAATAGGATATCGAGTGGTATCACTCGCAACTACGGAAATCTGTGTCTGTCGTCAGTTCCGGGACCATCTTGTCAACTGGACATTGCCAAGCCATAATGGCCAGGCTGTCAGGAAGCGTGATAAGAGTCCAAGATTTCACCAGTGGCTCATTGTGGTGACATTCTTTTCATACTTTATCATAAAGAATAAGCAGTGTAAGCTTCAAATTGCCGTGTAACTAAACCGAGCAAAACTCCAACATCACATTCTCCCCCTGTAAGCAACCTGACAGATTGTTCCATTGACAAAGTCAAATTGTACCGCCACTGTGAAAACAGCAGCGCGTTTCCTTCACTGCGACTCGAGGAAAATGCAACTGCTTCTCTCAGTTCGGCGCGTGTACTCGGAAATGAACTGAGTCTTTGTTGGACTTGCGGGGGCTTCGGCTCACCTGTGCTGGATTAAAATTCAGATGGCTCCAAAATAAATGTCAACAAAATTGGAGGGAAAAACAAAACATGCACCCTTCACACTTCAAGTACGTCCAACCAATGTTTGTTTGTTCACTCAGTTCAGTGTCAGTCCAAGCAAAACGTCGAAATTACATAAATATCCACTGTATAAATATTCTATCCGTCCATCCATTTTCTAGACCACTTATGTTCATGAGAGTCACAAGTGTTATCAACAGTAAAATAAAACACACGTGTACAGTAAAATCACTTGGTCTGAAGACAATCCAGACCTAAGTATTAAACTACACTCAAGAGGCAATTACAGTGCTGCTATCCACGTGATCTGCTCAGAGCAGACCGGTTCCAGTAAATCGTTAGGGTGTTTAATGTTCCCTGACCTGGGTGCAGAAAGGCATCTTATCTGTTTATTGGTGTTTGTGAGGCAGCGCTGGTAGTGTCTCGTGCTGTTCCAGACAATGAGGATTATCGTGTCCCTTTTGTACGGTTCCTACAAGGCTCGACTGGGCTTATCGGAGCGGCCATCTGAATCTGGAAAAAGTCACCCGACTTCATGTTTGAGCTGCTTAAATATAATTCACAGCTTCCGGTGGCTAAACTATATGACATTGGGTCAGCACAGGGCTTTTCCACACTGTGACAACGAGGCACTCTATAACAGCCTCGTGAGCGCAAAGTCCCGGTCCACTTGTCAGCCGTTACGTCCGATTTATTCATTTATTTTTTTCACTTGTTCTTCCACTCTTCTGGTGCTTCCACCTTTCCACACTTGATGTGCATGCACTCATGGTTGACTATGAGGCACTCTAAAGCGGCACTCTAAACACCGGGAGTCAGAGTTTGTCTTTTTTTCTGTGATGTGTGCTCACTCATTGTCGGCGAGGCGCTCTAAAGTGGTCATGGCAGTGAAAGATCCAAAGAGAAGCTGCATTTATGGGGTGTACTCACTGCTAGATTGCTAAGCGCACGTTGCAATTGTGCCAGAATCCATCATGCAAACAAAGAAGCTCAAGTTCTTAGATGGTGAAGTAGGGGCACTGTTTTAGCCACGCCCAGAAAAAAATAAGAAAAAGACAAATCCTAGAGCCCCACAATTGAGTTCTACATTGTTCTCAGTCTTTGCGCATTTTCCAAAATTATCTTCCAAAGTATGTATCATGAAGCACATCTCAGAATTTACTTTACAGGGACTTTAAACAGTGATAATTGCATTGACATTTTCGAGATTTATATTATTCATGTTTTACTTTCCACTCGGGGCTTCTGTACACCATTCTCCTTTCTGGTGTAAAACACTTCCAGATTCCACCGGGGGAAACACGGTTTATTATGATAGCAGGAAGAGTCCCAAATTACTGAGTAGGCTTAGGCTGCTGTGGTAGAACACTCCGAGGAGTTCAGAGAAGGCCGAAAATAGCGGCGCACACATGTAACAAGTGGGCGCACTCACAGATGTCTCTGTGTGTGCTCTGATTTCGTCACTTGCTGTTTTCGAGTTGCTCATACTGAGTGTAGCCATAGAAGAGTCACGTTTAGTTTCAGCGATTGACTACATGTATGTGGGCCAAACTCTTGGCCATCCGCGGCATGCAGCAACATCCTCACCGCTACCCAATGCCATGAAGTGAAGCTGCATAGCAACTAAAAAATGATGCTCTCCCAGCAGCAGGACCGTGAGAGATGTTTCCTTTTGATTTCCAATCATTCCGACCTTTGATCATAATGACCCCAAACAGCCCACTGATGCATGATCATGACGAGTCCCCGTTTCCACCTGCATCAACATTCTGAGCGGAAATGTAGCACGACTGCGGCCAAACACAACATCGTGACAGTCATTATCTTGTTTTTCCTCCCACTTCAAATACCACCAAAGGTGAGGTGATAGGAGGAAACAGATACGCATACACGCATATACAACTCGCACATGGACACACGCATCCGGCTAAATCCGGTGTCAAGATTTTTTTTTCTTTACACCTTTGGTTGTCATCAACCTGTGGGTGAACAGTTGACCGCCTCAATATAATCGTATCCTACCTTTAAACCCACTTCTCCTGGATGGCCCGGCTGACCCCTCTCCCCTGGATGACCCTGTACAGGCAAAGAGATGAATAATCATGACCAATTTGTATGTTGATGAAAATAAGGTCACCAATTACTTTATCTACTCGTGGGTTTGTACGGTTCATTTGTAAAACACCCTTTCCGGCATCACAATGGCAATAACTGTGATTCTGCAATGCAATTACCCTTAAGAGGACACATGCACTACCATTTATTGAATTATTTTACTATGCTTTACATTTTTATTCACAAATATATTATTTATATATGTATTCACTTTATTCACAAAAAAAAAAAAAAAATCTGAAAATTAAAATTCAATAGATTCCGGCCTGCTTTGCTATATATTTCTTATTTTAATTCAACTGGAGTTGTATGCACATATTAAACAATTCATGTTTGAAACGTCTTTATAAATGATTACCTGTGGTCCTGGTAACCCCGGCATCCCGCTGTCACCCTGGTTAAAGTCACGTTTAATACAAACGTGATTATCAGTGTGACCCAACATTCATTCATCTGCTTCTTCAGAGTCTTACCTTCAAACCAGGAAGTCCTCTTGGTCCTGGAGAGCCATCCACACCCTACAGAACCAAAAGCAGAAATAAATGATTCCATTTGAGAATAGGCTAAACATCCTTTTCTAAACTCCGAACACACTCAGCAGTTCACCTACAAAATAAGAAACATTAGACATCTGAGAATTGATCATGAGAATTTTTACCTTCTGCCCCAGATTTCCAGGAGGGCCAGGCTTCCCAGTTTCACCCTGAAAGAGAGAGAGAGAGAAAGAGAGAGAGAGAGAGGGAAAAAAAGTACTTGACATTTGAAATGTCCAAACAGCATGACTGATACATTTGAAGAGGTGTTCTGCTCCGAATTTCCAACATATCAAATAAAACAGAAGTTCATACATTATGCGATAACACAATTTGTGACAATTCACTATATCACAGCACAGAGATAAATAAATAAACAGCGTACTCACAGGCTTACCATCAGCTCCGGGTAATCCGGCTTCTCCTTTGTCCCCCTGGAAACATAAAGGAAGCCTTGATACAGAAATGCACATGAAAAGAAAAAAAATAAATAAAACGGCAACACCATTATCCAGATAGCAACCCGATGTCCCAAACTGCATCAAAACCATCTGCTGTTTCTCAGAAGGACCAAATGACTATTTAAAGGTTGCACCATCTCAAGCTGCAATAAAAGCTGTTAAATTGGCCGCGTCCTTACTTTAAAATCTTCAGAGAAAGTTACAAAGAGGGCGGTAATCATTACTGGCACTTAGTTGTGGTCTACTGCACACACTGCCGTGTTCCCGCCTTTTATCATGCTGGTTAGCTTAGCACGGTTGCTAATCGGATCATTCTGTGCATTCATTCACTTTCGAAAGCTTAACAGATTCAGGGTCAGTGGAAAGTGGGGATCTAAGTTCAATGGTGTGTTCGAAACTTTCTTCCTGCCCTGCAAATCTTTGCTTCACCCCACTCACGACTCAATAATGCTATCAAAACAAAAAGAACTGAACCTTAAATCAAAACTGAAGTTGGGAGTCACCACAAATGTGATGAGAGAAGGGCGTGACTTGGAAATTAGGTAAAAATAAAAAAAATCAACCGCTTCACACACTAAAACACAACCGCATTGAAATTCAGAGAGCCGGCTGATGTCGGTGACATTCTCAAAGACAAACCAGCAATTGACGGCTTTTTTTTACCGTGCGTCCTTGCGGGCCGCGCTGCCCAGGGGGTCCAACTACACCATAGGAGTCGTCCACTTCTGTAATTGTGGCTTTTCGATTCAGAGGACACTGCAGAAGCAAGGATTGGACTCATTTTTATGATAGCAAAGCCAGCCCAAACTTTTACTGATTGAATATGTTCATGTTTGGAAATTGCTTACTGTACTTTTTTTTTTTTTAATGTTGCCTTTAAAAGTTTGTAGCAATTCCAGATTGACTGTCCTTGGAGTTTACAAGGAACAGCTACTGCATACCAATTCTAGCTATATCCGCCTGAATTTGGAAGTGCTTGATAAATAGACTCCTACACACATTTGGGATGATAATTATTCAAGTGATTTCACTTACCCTTTCATCATCCTGTGAACCATAAGTAAAAGAGAAGACGAGGGATGTTAATTTCAGGGCAGCATTATACATATAAACATGCAGACACACTGCTTAGATGTCGAACCGGAAAAAAAGTGATATTTGCATTACTGTACAATCAGGTTAAAGGTTTACCACAGAGAAGATCTCACAAGCTGTCTCTCTCTCACTCTGAAGAGGATCACAGTACAGACGCAGTTTCTGGATTTGCATCTGATGTGAATCAAAAAAATCAATAACAGCCGATTAGTGCCAAGAAGACTTTAGAAAATAAATACAGATGTGGAAGCTAAATTAATAGTGGTCAACATTATACCCGCTCCAAATTGCAGATGGCAATTAGCATGCTAAACGAAATATAGCCAACATCATACACACTAATGTTGGCATGTTGGCATGTGTTCGCTTGTTTACATTTTGTGCAGTGATTCATCATCATGATGTGGACTTACAGGGACTGTGACATCTGTTCCACGCCTCTTTGCCACCTGTGTCTTCCCATTGATGTAAATGGGCTCCATTGGCTCCGGTGTTATTTCCTGAATCTGTTGATCGTCAAGGAAGCTGGTGACCTGGCTGGGTCTCACCAGGAGTTTAAGTTGATGCCACATCCCATCATAAAGAGCCTGACGGAAGGTACGAAAGATTATTTCAGATTATTAGTGTGGGTTGTTAGTCGAAGCTTCAGAGAATCTCACTGGGTAGGTACAACGATTGGTGGGGATTACTATATTTTAAATTATTTTCACTTTACAGTCTGAAGCTTGAGGTGCATGTTAGTAAGCACCCACAATATGTATTACTGCCACTTACAGAATGTTAATCCCTGGTATGTGGTAATCCTGTGTGATGCACATACAAGGAACTCATATTTAGCAGCCCTTTAATTTTTTTTCCCTTTTTTTTCTTGTGTGGCTGTGATGTGATGTGTATTCCTAAAATATCCCCAAATAGTGACATGTATTTAATTCAAAAAATTATAATAAATACCATGGGCCAATATATTATTTCCCTAATTGTCCTTTAATAAAGCTATAAACCATATACAAATGTGAGGAGAACAGAGCAGGCATTGTTTCCCATGTGCTGAGCCATAGCCAACGTCTTCAAAATGACAAATCACAGGCTACCACTTTGTGCCACATCAAAATAAATAAAACTCAAAGAAGTGCAAAAAAACAACATAATTGCAACCCTGTTCAGTGAGCCACGCTCAGTCTAGGTGTGTTAGAATTTGAAGGGGGAGTGTGCGTATGGAAAAAAAAAATAACCTGGCTGCTGTCTGACAGGACGTGTTATTATAAAGTGCCATGGAAATCGAAGCACGCATTCCAGGTGCGACACATCCACCGGCTAGTTTCCACCAGGGAAATGTCGTGGTTTAGATTCGGAAAGTTGGTTTTTCTTGTTTGTTTTTTTTTTGTTTTTTTTTTTGTTAGGGGAGGGGGTGGAGGGTGAGCTCCCCTCTGTCATCCTTCACATTTCATCCTCGGTGATTCATTAAAATAAGTGCTTTTCTTTTATCAGGAGGTACTTTTACTGCTTTTAACAAATAAGGTGGCAAGGGTGCCCTTTAACGTCATTTGTTCTTTCCATGTTACAGCAGAACAAGGCATACTTATTGGAATTTAATGCAAAAAGACTCTTTTGCGAATCTTGCCTAACTAGCCATTTACCCACATTGACTGTAAAAGTACTTCTATTTTTACCAGATTTTTTTCAGACACTAAGGGTCTGTGTGGGACAATCCTCATACCACTCACCTCGAATCCCATATCGAAGACAATCCTCTGCTCCTTGTTGGTCATTTTAGTCGCGGTAAAGGTGACAGTTTTGTCCTTTCCATTCAGTGTCACTGCAGCCTGGATCTTCTTGTCCTTTGATAGCACCCTCCAAAGGTCAAAGTTCAACTCTTTGGTAATCCCTTTTAGACGAACGGTGGCTACAAATACGTAGGATGGAGGAAGGCCCTCTGGGAAAATCTCTCTAGTAAAAAGAAGTTTTGTGACGCATTGTATGAATGCAGCTTAACGTGCACACTTTCTGATCATGGAACATAATTAATTAAACTCTCTCAACAGGATGATACCTGGTGTCCTCAGTGATGTCAGTCGAGGTAGTCAGAGCAAAGGCCGTCTCCGACACCAGAGACCCGTTAATTTTCTTGCCTTTTTTCTCAATGTTCATGCCCACCATCATCTCGAAGCCTTTCTCATCACGAGACGCCACTGGAATTCTTGTGGGACACACGGACTCTAGAATAAAAATGATCATTTGGTTAGACAACAACAAAAAATGTGCATAAGTCTACATTAAAATGAATCGCGTCCACGCGTATGACAACAAATGCTTAAGTTGCATGCATTGTTGAATGAAAACGGTGAATTGTTGCTCGTTGCATCTTGGTCGTGACAAAGAAGAAAGCAAACAGACTCGTACCTTCGCACAGCTTCTGTTCCATGGAGTCTCGAATACGGTCAATGGTGGTGTAATCTTCAGCGTACAGGACATAGGTGGAAGATGGTTTGTTAGCGATCGAGATTAGCTCCGAGTTGGTGATCTCACTCCCAACTCCCACTGCAAATACTGTTATGCTTTGAGCTCGCGCCTCGATGCTGGCATCCACCTGAGGAACAATTCAACTTTTGTTAAAAGGCAGGATGCGATTGTGTGGTGACAAGAAGAGGGAATGAACAAAATCGCACGGTATTAACACAACAGCATTCGGTTATTATCACAGTGTGGTTTGGAGCGCTAATCAAATATCAACAATCGTGTACAGTACAATGTGTCACACAAGCAGTGAAAAATATTTACGACGTCATCTTGGGATTTGCCATCTGTGACCACAACAGCAATGCGGTTCTTGACTTGGTTGGCTCGCTGCGATGTTGAGAAAACATGGTCCACGGCAAATTTGATGGCTCTGCCAGTCTACAAAACACACGTGTTCAATTTTAGAACAGCTGTGTTATGAGCAAGGACATGCTCCGCCAAATGCATGTAATAGATAACTCCCAGAAAAGAAACCTTAAAGCAGTACTAGAGTGGGCATAGTACGGTGCCTTGTTTCTTGAAATTGAGACTTTCCATGGCGTTTACGTTTTACAGTGGCACATCATACGAATGCTTCAAACCAAACTTGGACCAGCCATAATGAGAACATTTTCCAAAATTGAATGTTTTGTTGCTTCCCTTCTATTTACACTGCTTTTCCATCCACTCTCAGCTTCAGAATTGCTTGTCTTGCCGGCTCTTCGGTTTTCATTTGGTTACACCTTGAACTGGTATAAATTTGAAACTGAATGTTGACATTCAGCTATAATTATTATTTGGATATTTAATGCAACGGGTAAGCAAACACAGCTGTCAAATCGTGATGTAAAAACCAGGAAATGAAAACTGAAATGTTGCCAATGATTCCAGTCCACAGCATGAATTAAAAGAATTGCCATCACTGTTCCAACACTTTAAAACGGTAGGATGTCTTTTCTTCCATGTCATAAGCCTGATCCTAAAAATATAGCATCTATATTCAGGTTTCACTTTTTCATTCTAACAATGGAAATGAGGTTTGATGGTTGTTATATTAAAAAAAAAAATGCTGTGCCTGCCTGTGTGTTTCCTCCCATGTACGTGATGCCTCTTATGGCTTTAATGAGTTCCGCGGCGCTTTGTTGTTTTCCCAGTGGGATCTCCAGACGATGAGTGTCACTGTACTGGATCACAGCAACCTGCAGTGGACACACCACACATAAATGGTGGCTCTGTTGGCCTTGATCAAGATAAGAAAGCTAAGTGATGATCCACATAGTGTAAAAAGGAAAATGACAGTAGGTTATATGTTTTGGTCAGAGGAGATGCTCAAAAGCTCCTGTGGTTGGAATTCTACTCAATTGGAACATAAAAAGTGGCTTATAAAGTTTCCCCAAAAGCCAACTTTTGATTGCATATCATGCAAATATTTCGTGTCACTCAAGCTCCTGAGCCTCAACAAGTATCAAAGGATAACTTTGACCGAACTTGATTTTTTTTTTTTTTTTTTGTGGAACCCTTATTCCGCGAGATAAACTGACCTCATTAAAAGGTGTTAAGTCATTATAAAGTCTCGCTTTGATCGGGTCTCAGGTTATGACCTTAACAACTGTTTCCATTGTTTCCAATTGGAAATGTTTTGAAAGGCAAACAAATCAGAAACAAAGCAGAACCGGTTTGTCTTTTATCGTTTCGAGTTTGTGTAGCGCTATATTATATCGAGTGTCGAATCAACAAGTGAGGGCGTAAAGGCAAGAGTGAGCCGCTCCACCTGGGTATAGTGGGAACTGATGTCAAACTGGCTGGTGATGTTGATGAGCCATTGCTTGGCCGTTTCGAAATCAGCCACGCCAACACTCCACGAGCCATCGACAATAAAGACCAAGTCATTGACTGCGGTGCTGCAGCCTGAACACAATACAAGTACAAAGGAACGCTATAAAACAAAGCACAACCGAAATAAGCAAACATGCATACATATCACAAGAAACATTTTAACTGGTGTGAGAATTGAAAGTTGCGGCATCTACAATCTAGCATTTTACGCTTGTAAGATGAGCCCAGTTACACCCCATTAGTCTCTGATGAAGGCATTAATGGGAGGTGGAATCCCATCAGCTTGGATTTTAGACTGACAGGATGTGACCAAGCTTTTTACATTCCACGTAAGGTTAAGAAATCTCATGATCGAACTGCATCATCTCTACCTGCTCGGATATCGTCTTCCTTTTCTGCAGCTTCCGGTGGAATCAGCAACACAATTATGCTCCACAGTGCCCAGAGCCACATGGCGGTTTCGGAGGGCGGTTCCCCTCAGTTCAGTCCAGTCCAAGTTGGCTGAACCTTGATTGAAAACAACATGAGAATATGAATTACACATCCAGCATACATGCTTTGTGCGCGTGGTTGTTCTGTGTATATAGCCAACCGCTTATCCTGTTCAAGGTCACAGCAATGTCTGGATCATTTTATCAACCTAGCTGAGAGTGCATCGCCTTTGCACTTGTTGCCACTCACTCGCAGGGCAAATGAGTTGGAATTTGCTCATGTGCCTGCTGCTCACCGACAGCTATGCGAGTTACTTCGCGGCCTACTTCTTCGAATTCATCTCAACTCAAACATGGACACAGTTGGATGTTCCGACAGGACGATGATCCCAAACACACGACTGGTTTTGGAATGTATAGCGCTGGCAAAAAGAAAAAAAATGCCTCACGTATCATCTTCCCACAGCCTCGCTCAATCTAACCGAAAATGTGCTGATTGCCTTGTGTCCGTTTTACTTCGCAGACATGGTTCCACCAACCATAATGTTGGGCCTGACAAAATAACAATGTGCACACTATGAAGAGCACTGATGGGAAAACTTCAGTATAAACATGGCAGAGAGCATTGCAGAGTTTTGGCAGGAGTTTTAAAGGCATGGGAGGATCGGTCAGCTGAACACAAGGCAGCGAACTCTTTTTCCTCACTCTTGGCATGTCGGATGGAATTTGCTCTCGTACAGTTATGCATAATTTTGTACCAAATAATCTCATGCCAAAATGGAACATTGAGAAGTGTGAAAACTACAGTGAGAATATAGAAACTATATTGCAGACTATAAACACCTTTTTATGTTGTCACTGAGTTCGTGGGGTGAATCAGAGCCTGTCATCTGCAGTTGGGATAGAGTTTGGAAAAAGTGTTCTGGTAATGCAAAATAATTTCTCATCTTGTCATCCGTCCATCGATTTAGTTACCACTTAGCCTGTTCTGGATCACACATGGGACTGCGACTGAAGACTATCGCAGTTGCATAAAATGAGTACATTTCACCATGGCAAGTAATAAGCTGTAAAAATCAATGTGGCTTTGAAAACGCCATAGTTTACTTCTTTAGTGTATGTTGACATCCTGCAATGGCTTAATGTGGCGTTTGAAATAACATGACATGGTCGTGGTTCTAATGGCTTTAAGAACTCTTCATAAAGCCCTTGAGTATGTATTTTGTTCATGAAAACTTCTGCTGCTTACAACTGGTCTGGATCCGTAGTTCCTATTTATAAACATTGAAAAATGCAGTAATCATGTCATCCAGTGTGGCTCTACTTGGGGTGGAAACAGTAATCAAAAGGAGAGCCCACGGTTTCTAAAAATGACCTTCTAGGTTTTCCTCCCCCCCCCCAAAAAAAAAAAAAATTCTCTCCTCTCGGATTGCATCTTTACATCATCTCCTTCAGTCTGTTCTCTCTTTCCTTTCAAAGCGTGTCATTCATGACATACACACAACCGGTATAGGTGCATACTGACACTAAATTCCAACTGACCTCACGGCACATTTGCCACAGCCGTGGTGCAGTGCGCCCACCACATCAACCACCTCCTCTGGCTTCTGAATCACAGAACATTCCTTGTGCACAGACGTCGCAGACTCCCTTTTTTTTTTTGGTTTTGTCAACCCATTCCAGAGACCACTTTAAGTTCTTCATATATACCAGTAGTATTGTTGACAATCTTTCTGTACTGGATAATAACTCTAATGCTGACACTTGCTTTGGCCAATGAAATAGTAATTCAGTTTTGCTAGGTTTAGCTAACTCCGGTTTTCCTCCCACATTCCAAAAACATGCATGGCAGGTTAACGGAACACTCTACATTGTCCCTAGATGTAATTGTGATCGGCCGGCAACCGGTTCAGGGTGTCCCCCGCCTACTGCCAGAAGACGGCTGAGATAGGCTACAGCACACCCGCGACTCTTGTGAGGATAAACGAATTAAAAAAAGGATGGATGGATGAATGGATGGATAGATTTAGTTACGACCTTAATAATGCGGCTTGTCATAAGTGATTCCATGGTCTTGTTGCGCCACAACAAGAAGGGGATTCAGTTTAGTCTTGGGATGGGCCATTTGTGTGTTTTGGATGTCCCCCCCCCTGTGGTTTTGTGGGTCCACTCTGGGTAATCGGGCTTCCTTTCAGATTCCAAAAGCCTCCAAGTTACTTAAGACACTAATTACTCGATGTGACTGACAATCTGAATCTGGCTAAAATCAGATGGGATCGTCTCCACCTACCCTGGTTCCTTGAACGAGGTAAGAATATGGATACGGGATTAACGTGTGTCATGGCGTAATACTTTGCAAACATTTTAACAGGCTGAGAGATTATAATCAGGCTAATATCCATGTGGTCCTTTACTACTTTATAATTGCAAGTATCAAACCTGAAACAAAGTGCTATTATAGATTATACATTAGGATATTCAATTTTCTTGGTGACTGCAGTTCTGATTCCCTTGACATGATCATACAAAAAGTCATTTGCTAATATAATAATAATAATGTAATGGTCACAAAAAAAAAACAATTCTTCCAGTGTTCCAGATAAACATGAATTCTAATTTTCATTTACAACCCGTTAAACAAAAAAAAAAGTTACATTGCTGTCAAAGACAAGAGCAAGGACTTTACATGAAGAAACTAATTACAGTTCACAATCATGATTGTACAGTTTCACGTCTCGCAAATACGTACAATGGAAGAGGATTTTAGACTTTCGAACTGAATTTCTTTGAAATACCGAAAGACGTGATGGGAAGGACTAATACTGCTTTTGCCGAAAGCAGAGAACCTCCCTGACCCATAATCACAGTGGTTCATGTAAGCGGTATATTTAGCTTTTTTTTCCCCGCATTGTCCTGATGGTTGGTCACCGGCAGCCAAACCAAACTCAGGCCATGAAAATAAAAGAACAATGAAAAGTTATCCAAACACGCATTGGTTCAGCGTAAACCAAAATCAATTATTTTGTCACACTGCTTGCAAATAACTTAAACTCCCTTTTGCTCTGTACATCCTAAAATGAAATCATAAACTGAAGAGCCCCCCACACATCAAACAGCAGTGAGAGGAATTACAGTAGAAAGCTTGCTTACCCTCTGTGGAAGCACAGTCAAGAAGTGATGACAGGGCCGTGTGCGAGCTGCAGCGTCAAGTATTCACAAGTGACTGTGATGAGAAAGTGAGGAGAATGAAGTCCCGAATTGGTAGTGACAGTCCTCTCCCTGGTTGGCACAGGACTGGTAGGAGTGTCAGGGCCGGCCTTTATAAATCGTGGCAGCCTTCACCACAAAATGTAGCCAGAGCCCCATGCTCACGTCCACTCGACATGTGCATGGACCACAGCTTTCGGGTTTGTGTTTTACACATCTTTTGGTGTTCATTTTGTCACAAATATATGAAAAGCCTCATTAGTTACTACGCGATGAAAATATTTTACAAAGGTAAGTAGGTAAGCTATAAATATGAAAAGAAGATGTCAACACAAATTCCTAACTAAACACACTAACCCAACAGCGGGGTCCTATTTTAGCACCAAAAGGGACCGTGTGTAAAAATTTGAAATCTGTGTCAACTGGAACTGTGTCAACAACGAGTGTGTGCTTGAACTGAAACCACACAGTTTCAATAAATAAAAGGCTCAACAATAAATGTGAAAGAACACATCGTGCACATTGAAAAGGTGAGAACATGTTCTGGTTTTGTTTATTCTGGCCTTTGTGTGTGAAGTTTGCATGTTCTGATGCTTCTTGCTATACTCGTGTGGGTTTTGTCTCAGTACACTACGCTTCCTACCACGTGACATTGTTCAGATTCTAAAGATCACATTTGTTAAATTCAGAATTGTACAATCTCAGACGCATTCATAAGAGCAAAACATCTTGCAAATGCAAAAAGTTAAATTACCTGTCACGACTGGATACATTACTCACGTGTAGTAATTATGCAATGTATATCTTTAAAAAATATATAATTGATCTTAATACATGGAGCAACAGAGGCACCTTGCTTGTACAGAAGATTAATAAGGACGTTGAGCTACTGGTGCCTCCTACTGGCCTATCACTATGAGAACAGTGAGAGAGGGAGACATTTTCAATGAAATCTCAGTACGTTGGATAGAGAAGCAACCATTGCAGCTGTTAAACTATATTTTGTGTTATCTAGACAAAGTTTTTGGTTCTCGTGCATCAATGACAGAAAAAAATAAACAACAGTGGTGGTTTAAATTTCATTGAACAACACTTCTGAATTTTACCCAAACACATAGTGACAAGTTTATGAGAAAATGATGTCCTTTGGATAGATGAGGAAAAAAACAACTGAAGCTTTTATGACGTCACCCATATTCACACATATGGGCAATTTTGCACCTGACGACCATGCCAAGTGAGATGATTACTTTCAAATTTAGCCTCGAATATGGCACTGCATAGTTTTTTATTTTCATGAATTATGTATATGGAATAATATGCTTGTTGTACCATTTTGGATGCTTCATCCAGTTATTGGCGGCCACACGGGCACTATCTGGTGCTGTATCTGTCACTTTTGCACGTGAAACATGTTTTCCATTACCTTCTGGTCACTTGTAGTCATAATTTACAGTACGCATGTTGTCTGAAAGAGAAACAGGCAGAAGCATGACTATTATGCCATAAAAGTAATCCTGAATTCTAGCCCGGGCGGCTTCTGAAGATGCTGAAATGGCTTTCGATGAATTTTGCTCAATTCAGTTGAAGTACTAAAATTCACCGGGAGATGGAAGCATTGCGCTGACTGCTAATGGTTACGCCCCCGGAAATGATGTCGTAGAAGAAGGAAATAGTCCACCATGGTGCCGCCCCGTTTAATGGCGAGCTAACAGCAGCAACACTACGAGGGAGCCACTCTGAATGTGTTATAACGCCCAAACGCGTCAATTATGTAGTCGCGTTGCTCCGCCATTCTGACTTTTGGCTCGTTCTCGCATCGCTGACAATGCCGAAGATGAAACTGCGGATGAAAACGGGCGAGGAAGGTGGCGGCGAAACGACGGAGGAAGATGCATTGGCTCCGACGGAACGCCAGCATATCCCCAGCGTGGTCTCCCCCACCTCGATGTCCAACAGGCTGGAGTGTTCGCCCAACGCTTGTGTCAATCCAGCCCAGCTGGACAAGGAGACTGTTTTTGAATGGTTCGGCCTTCATCTAAACCCTGCCAAGCGAATCGAGTTCATGTGCGGGCTAATGCACATGTGCCAACCCCTGGAGCTTCGCTTTTTAGGATCTTACTTGGAGGATCTCGCTCGCAAAGATTATCACGTTTTACGGGACTTTGAGTTTCGCGCAAATACTCCGCACGAGTTGGGGATTTTAACGGACTTGATCGACCCGGTAGTGAGGTCCAAGCTACTGGTGTGCCTGTCCCTCCTCGGATCTGACAGCAGGGAATGCGCTGGAATACTCTTTCGCATACTGAGCCATGTAGATCCGTCCCTGTTCTACAAAAAATACGACTACTCCCTTCCTTCATTCAGGGACCCTCAGCACCACTCGTTGCATTCGGATAGGAATGCTTGCAAGCAAACATGCGGCGTCTCAACCACTGAGATCTCCCCTGGACCTTTGGACCAGTTAGCGCTGCTTTTCAGTATGGCCTCTTTACACCCAGCTTTTCATTTTCACCAGCGAGAGACGCTTCGGACGCAGCTTGATAAAATTGAGCTGGCAATCGAAGAGGAAAGACGACGGCTTCATCAAAACGCACAAACAACGGTAAGACGAACTCGGTGTCGTGCTACGTTAGCTCTTGTTTACTTTTATTTCACCGCGTTAAGTTAAGGTTTCATTTTCTGCAGTTTGTTTTTTTTACTTCAAGTGTGAACATCAGCACTGTGGGATCAATACTAAATGTTATTTTTCTTTTTATTGAGTTTTCTTTCTCGTCTCTCAAGTGACAGCTGTTGCAACAGCTAAAGGCTAACGTGCTGCTGGCGTGCTTAAGTTTTGCAACTCGCGACAGTTTTACAACACAGCAGAGGTGGGGGTCGTGTTACGCGTGTGCAGGTCTCACGGGGTCATGCAAATGAATGGCCTTTCACTTGTAGAGCGCGTTTCTACGATCAAGGTGCCAAAATGAGCTTTTACAGGTTGTCCTCCTTCGCCTACTGATGGTGCAGCCTCACGAGCAACTTGCTCAAGGACACTTAGGACAGTTTACCTGTTGGTCCATGCAGCCTCATGACTTAACCTTCAAGACTCAAACAAGTCAAGTCACCTTATTAATACAGTCATATAGCGAGAAGTACCTAAATATCAAATAATGATACAAGCGACTTTGAATCTCCACCTCTCCAACACAGTATAGGGTGCATGTGCTGTTGTCGTGCCATATTTCCTCATTGCAGTCACTCCGAAGTACAGTTTCACTTCTGGGAAAATGAAACCATTGGATTTGGTTTGCTGCCCAGTATATATTTCTGATGCTGTTTTCCAACTCCCCCCAATGCAGCAAGGTTGGGAAACAAAGTCGGTGACAATGGTGGTATACCTAATGAAGTGACTCATGAGCTTACAACTGTACAGTATATCTTTTGAAAGGTCCCATTTTACTCAATTAGTGTCATCATTAATGTGAGTGAAGGGAGGCCATGTGTGCTAAAGATGCTGTGCTCCTAATGAAATACATGTGCCATTTTTAGAATGCTGTGTTGTGTCAGGACAAATGCGGTTCACCGAGGGAGTGGGCTAATAAGCTTTGAAACAATGGCTGAGACTGGATTTAAAATGTTTTGCAGCCCATACATCAGAAAACACACCACAGAATGCATGCGAAGAATACATAATGATAACTGGGGCCACTGCTCTCTGTTGAAACCCAGGATTTGCCAAGCCAGAAGGTTGACTATCTGCCCTCGTCATCTTTGGGTTTGGGAGAATGTGCAGACTCGCACGCTCCTTGCCAGAGCCGACGCTCTCGACGTAGGGCGATACAAAGAGAAGGTTAGTATAAACACAAGTAGATAACATACCATGAATTTTGTACATGAAAACGAAACTGGATGGCTGCCACAAATTTTGAAGTGCATGTCAACAAGCTTGAAAAATAACATGGCATGTTTCTCAAGTCTTTTATTTTTTACTGTTACGTTGTAACATCCACTAAACAAATGAAAATAAAATTCTGTCTCGACAGTTTTGTATCAATGTCTTCTTTTTTTTTTTTTTCTCTCTCTCTCCCCCCCAGCGGTGCATATAGAGGCAATTGTGCTCAAGTGTATCTCTCAGACCAAAATAGACAAGGAATACAACTTTGAGGTGAGTAATTGAGCCGAAAACTTTCCGGTCGACTCTATTCAATGCAGCAAGTCAAGCAACAAGTATCTCTGCATGAGCAATACCGTCAATACTGAAAAGGCTCCAGAGGAAAAAAAATGTACCGGTACATGTAGAATTTGGTTAAAGGAAAGACTATTTCAAGCTTGCTGAGAATGCTGACATCAATTCTAGTGTGGTCTTTCTTTGCACAATTCTTGTTGTTGACAGCAAAGGCGCTCTATCAGTCAACCAACTGATGTCACTAGACTCTTTGGCACACACTGCTCCCTTTCTTAAAGGGCAACATGCCCGCTCTTTCACGGAAAAAGAAACTTTTGCAATTCTGTACATAAGACAATATCAAGTGGATAAATTATCGGTAACTGTCTGTAATTAAATACCCAGTCCATGCTCAGTTGGTTTGGTGTTCATGATGTAATTAGTTTTTTTTTTTAATTATGATATATTTTTGTGGGGTTGTACTGTACATGCTTTGCACAAGGACCCACTTGGGGCACTGCCACATGCTGAAAAATTATCCCAGACACCTTTCGAAGCACATATTCACTGCAGTATGTTAATATCAAATCGTCATGGAATAGTTTTGCTTGTTCTTGGTGTATTCTTTGAGCCTCCACCTGAGTGACCTTAACGTTTGCCGTGTTCAGCACAACCATAGCTCCCCGTGTTGCGGTAGCCAAATAAGGCTATAAAACTACTTGCAAGTGATTTGTATAAACTGTGGGTGACGTAGCCGTCACCTTTTTCTTTTTTAAATGGTAATATGTTTAGAAAACACATGGATATAATGTATTTTAATGCAATCTTAACTGGGAGCGCTAAGTACTTGGATTAAAATCTGTAGCAACAGATGGCTATTACAAGCAAACAGCCTTCTTGGTGCGACATCCAAAGCTCAATGTTGAGTCATTTTCCATGAGTTTCGACTGAGCCACACCATGGAAACACATCGCTGAAATTGTTTCTAGTTTATTTTTTGAAGCCCCATTCTTAATGTAACAGCACTTCGTGACTCTCGCCTTTTTTTTCTCGTTTTTTTAAACTTTTTTTAACCCTGTTTCAGGTGAAGTGGTCCGACTCCTCCTCAAGTAAGGTGACCAAAACCCATTTGGAACTGGAAAATTTCCTTTTTAAGGTAATCTCATTTTAATGGCTCGTCCTTGCACAAAGTGTCACAATTCGAGTAGCGGTGCAAAATTACCGTGATGAGTTAAATGGTGTCCCTTGCTCGAAAATCTCCATTTAAATTGTGCGAGTGGATTATTCGTCATGACATTAGAAGAGCAGTGTGGGCACTAGAGTATGTCATGTGCTTAATAGTTTTTGGGTTGGTTTTTTTTGTAAATGTATTCGTCAGAGGTGTTTGCAGTGCTAATTCGATGCTTTTCAGACAATTCCACAAAGATAGCAGCCACTCGACGTGTTGCTATTTCCAGTTCAGCGTCATTAACATTTTGCAAGCCCCGACGCTGCGTGTGTATTTGTTTGCAAATGTTGTTGCCCTATCCCCTGCCAGTTATTAATTTTCCACGTTGAATGTTGTAAACCTTCTCTCCGCAGCTTCCTAAAGATCAATGCACTGAGTCTTTTGAGAAGAGCCTCCTGAGACTTTTGAGCCAGGGGCACCACTATGAGAGCAGAGAGGGCGAGAAAAGCCTCAGGTACATTTTGCACGCAGGCACACAAACACACAAACGCGACAGCTCGTTGAATTAAGTGAAACTCGAAAATTGCGAGAGTTAATGTGAAGGCGTTTTTATGACATTCTCTCCAGGGAAAAGTTCCTTGCCGCTCCTCCAATTTTCAGACAGACCAGGAAGGTGTGCATCTTCTTCAATTGTGAATCCGCTTACTCTACAAAACCGTCAGGTTGCCGTTGTAAGTAGACAGTCATTCAAGTAAAAGCATTAGTCAGGTAACCAATAACAACCAGTCACCATAACTATTGATGCAAGTAACTGAGTGACTCACCGCATTGAGACACAGGTGACAATAACACGAGCCACGGCTCAAGTGACCTGATACATCACAATGAAGTGAAAAGAACACAAGAACGCTCGTTTCACAGTTGGCATCCAGCAAGTAGTTTAACGCAAGAAAACACCTCCTATTTCCTGATGTAGTGCTGAGGTATTTGTTTGTCAGCAGCGAGGAAGCAAAATAATTCGTAGCATCAAAGTCAAATTAAATAATACACACGTAAATCGAACGTTAGCCACGTGTATATTTATGTGCACCTATAAAATTTGGAAACTGACATGCACGTCAGAATCTTAAAAACATAACAGAGTAAATTTAGTACTTTAGACATTGAGTTAGGATGTGAAAATGTACCTTCATTTCATCTTATTTAAAAGTCTGCAACTGCTATATAGTTTGGCGATAGCGAATGCAGTATCGAGTTGGGTATTTTGATTTATGCCCACATCCTGTCAGATGAGGTCTTACTGTTACTGCAAGAAAGACTTATGTCATTGTAGAGCAATGCAGTGCAATTTCCGTGTTGTTTTTCTATCTAGGCAATTGTCAGCTGGGGAAAAACTTACAAGGTGATTGCTCTGACGTCTCTAGTCAGGACGAAGGTGAGAGCTCATCATTAAAAAAATGAAACAAAAAAACCCCCTGCTCTTATGGCTCCAAGGAAAGTTTGGGTTGCAAGAGAAGAACTGAGTGACGAAAACAATGAATGAGGCCCGATAAACTAAAGCTTTCCTGACTTTGGCAAGCTGTAATTATTATTACAAAGATATATGTATTCTCACTACATCATGATGCACTGCAGTTTGTGTGTGCTTGACAATACCAGGGAATAATACAAATTGAACAATCCCGAGTTAGATTTTGGCACCGTTTCTCCCGAGTGAAAACCTGGATTTTTGTTTCTTTTACTTTCGTAGGTATAGACTCATACAGTCAGGGGCACAAGAAAAAGCACGGACCCAAGAGTGCAAGTCAAAGGTAAGGAAGAAGATCTGGTGTTGTGAAGGGGGGAAATCAGTTTCAAACAAAAGCTCCTACAGGAAGAATTGATTCCTATCAGAAGACTTCTCTTTTTAGTCTGTCTAGTGCCAAAGGCCCTCAGGGAGACAGTCGGAGGGGACCTCATGTCGCCGAGCTCAGTGGTCCGTCAGAAAGGAGGAAGAGGGGCTTCATCCCGAGAAGCGTGCCGGAACCTGAACAGGTGGACAATCATTGTCATAGATGTTTTTTTTAATTTTTTGGTCTCAATAAGGATTTCCTAAAGAACCTGATCAGAACTTGACAAAACAAAAACAGTCAGGTTTAAGTTTGACTGCCTTCCTCCTCCCTGTATCCCTCCAGGACACAGACAAGCGAAGCCACCCAGGAGCCAAGACTAAAAGCAGAGTCCTGCCCACTGACAGGTAAATTACTGAGAATCTGCAAACACTCAATGAATTTTTTTTTTTTTTTTAATGACTCCATCCAGCCTCCAGCCAAGTCGTTATGCACAGTATAGAAAGTAAAATTAACCCAATGAGTTTGGTGCAAGCTAAATGGATCAAATTCATAACGCAGGTGTTGCAAGGCCTGACTGTGATAGTACTGATAACCGGAATTGGAACGCTTTCGTCTCCAGTTGTGGCCGACTGATCAAGAAACATTTCTGAAACTTATGTCAGGATTTATAGTTCATGCAGTCAGCGAGTTTGCCTGTTCCATCCCGATATTTCTTTGTTGACAGAGGCACGCAAAAGGGATCTTCATATGTGACCAATGGGAATCTGGCACCAACACATTTGCCTCAGAAGAAAGGTGGGTGTTTGTGTTGTCATGCCTGGAAACTGTTTTTTCCTTTCTCCAGAATAGACTTGTACATTTTCTGGTAGTATTTTCTCTTCACTTTTCTTCGTGGATCAAGTGTGTAACGTTTACCGCATACACCACGAGCGTATGTTCTTTGAAGAATCGCCTGTTGCCATTATGTTGGACGCAGGCTTGGTGGCTGTTGCCGGCTCCGGACTGGACACGTTTGGTGAAACGTCATCAGAGAGCTACAGTTCTCCATCAAGTCCTCAGCACAGAGGAGCAGAGACTCTGGATAGTGAAGATGATAACAATAAAGGTAAAATAAAACAAAAAGTGAATTCTCTTGTGGAAAAAAGATAAAATACGTCAGATTCTGAAACAGCCTTTGTATTACTGTGACCATGTGAACAAAACCGTGTGCTTTGAAATAGTTGAAATAATCGTTAAGCATCAATGTTGTGGTTTGAAGACCGTTGTGCAAATGTGTTTTTTTTTCTTTCCACAGATACCGACAGCCACTCTGATGACTCCTTCAAAGTACCAGGCCCCGGCATGTTCTTCACTCATCAAAGTGATCCAAGTGCTGTGGGAAGCGCCATGTCTGTCCACCCTTTGTCCCCTAACATCCACGCACCCCAGATGGACTTGACTGGCCCTGAGAACAGCTTACAGTTTCCCCCCCTTTCTTTCATGCACCCTTTGCCTGACGTGCTCCCAAACGGCGCCAGTGACCCTCCGCTGACTGTGCCTCCACTTCCCAGCCAAAGCATTCTGGCGGATGGGAAGCCAGCTTCTGGTCCGCTGCTGATGCCGATGCCTGCGGTGCTTCCGGTGATGCCGAGCCAAGGAGAACCGGATAAAAGGGACCTAGCGTTTGGTATTTCATCTATGGGCTTCCAGCCTGGTGTGCAGCCTCTGGTCCAGAGGTTCAAAACAGCTTTGCCACATAACCAAGGTGGTCACGACGGCTCGTCAGAAAGCACTTCTACTCCTGTTGCCTCGCAGTCCGCACAGCAAGCCCCGGTGCGACCTGTGGGGGCCGCGTCTTCCGGCCTGGCCATGTACCCTTCCTCTCTGCCCTGCCAGGACGCGGCCACTCTCAGTTCAGGCCTGACGCGGTCACTCCCTCTCGGAGAGGCTTCGCATGCCAAGCACCCAGGTTTAAGCTTACCATCTGCTCTGCCATCCCCCTACGCCTTGCAACCTGGAGGTGCCCCTGCAGCTACCGGACTTGGAGCATCTCCCGGACACGTGCAAGCAGGCGTGCCTGCGGCCGTACCCACGCACACCCCGGGCCCCGCCCCCAGCCCCAGCCCAGCACTTGCTCACAGCACGGCGCTCAGTGACTGTCTATCTTATAGCAACGCCAGTGCTTCCTGTGGAAGTGGCTGTGACAATCCTATCGCGCTTCAGCAAAGTCAGCAGCAACAAGTGCCCCCACAGCCGCCAGCGCCGCCGCCGCCACCGCCACCACCACCGCCGCCTCCGCAACAACAGCATCTGATGGGCTGCGGGACTTGCGGCTGCCACAACAACTGCGGCAGTCGAGGTAGCAGCAACAGCGTGAGCGGCTGCCAAGCGCCACTGTTTTTCCCCAACCACCAAATGGCGGCAGCGGTGCGGCAGGTCTTCAGTGTCCCGCCCCCTCTCTTCCAGCTCACGAGCCTGTGCATCAACAGCTACCTCACCCAGGGCCAGCCACCCCACCAGGCCAACGGGGCCGCCACCCTCCCTCCCTTCTACCCAAGCGCCCCGCCCCCCGGCCACCATTCGGCCTACGGCCACCTGCACTCGCACCCTCACAGCCACGCAGACGTGCCATCGCACATGCTGAGCACGCAGGTGGTGGCGGCGGCGGCCGCGAGCTACAACCTCCAGCAGCAGATGACGCCAGGCGCGTCGTTCCAACGCATTTACCAACAGGTCTACCCAAATCCTCTGGGGATGCTTCAGGCTGCTTCACTGGGTGCCGGCGGGCTCAATAAGAAGAACGGGAGCGTGTCGTGTTGTAACTGCGGTGTGAGTGGACACTATGCTCAGGAGTGCAACCAGCCCTCCATCGACTCCACGCAGCAAGGTAAAATAAGCACTCCTACTGTCTGATTCTGGTATTAGCTGATGATGAGACTTGGAAGCAGGGCACAATATTATTGGCTGCTTGCAGAGAGCGGAGGGGTGAGCAGTTACACACAGCAGTGGAGGGAGGAAGCAAGACAAAAAGGACACTGCAACCAGATGCAATTTTGCTCTGTGATTAATGTGCATTGTTTTTTTTAAAAAAATGGTACCAGCAGGTACTAGTTAGCACAAGTTCAACATGAGTAGCCCACAGTTCTGTGCTAAAAATAGCCCACCAGTGGGACATTGTAACTTACTAAGAATTAAAACAGAAGAAGGATGTGAACTTGTTGCACATTTGTAATTGTACCAAATACTCTACATTGTGCTCAATGGAAAAACTGCCATTTTTATTGACCCAAAAATCCCAAATAATTTAGAGCTGTAATTTTAATACCGTGATATTTTTGCTCTTACAGTCGTAGTCTAATATCAGCCCATGTCTAACACAGTGTGAGTACTTTTCTCAACTATGTCAATGTCACAGATGCCGAAGTACAGTGAACCATCACAGTTTGTGAAGGATGGGCGAATTGAGAAATCTTAAAAAAAAAATTAGACCGTACTATAATTACCTATAGATACCACAACATGGTGGAAAGGGACATATTTTGTCAAAAACAAGCTCCTCTAGCACCAAGATGGCACCAAATGGCCCATTGGCTTTAGGATGAGCACAAAAAAAGCGAATAGGTGAGTTTTTCAGCAAAATACAACAGGCACTGACTGTTCTCAGTGTATCATTAAATCCTTTGACGCTACAAAAATGCGCTTATTTTTTCTTGTCTTTCTGGATATTCTCTTTGTGATCGCCTTGAACGCTTGTGTTTCACGCCAGGTGGCTTCCGGCTAAAGTATGCAGCTTCACACGTTGCAGAGGCACTCGATGGCACTGACTGAACAAGTGGAGCTGTTCTCACGGTCATGGTGATCCCGCCCTGCTTCCTGATGCTTCATGCGCTTCGAAAGAGCGGTCATGGTGATCCCGCCCTGCTTCCTGATGCTTCCATGCGCTTCGAAAGAGCAACAACAACAACAACAAAAATGAAACCCGAGCCTTGTCACAGGCAGCGTTCCCTTTTTAAGGGCTCAACGGACAAACCCGACGAAAAAAAGTATTTGTGCCTAAGCCATGTTGACATGAAATAATTTCAATGGTCTTGTGCACATGGGTTCCTCCCCTTTCAGTTAATTTTGGATTTTTTTGCACTGAGGGTTGGAGAACATTTAAGTTATTGTTACTTGATTATTATTATTATTATGATGACAATTTTGTTATTTCTTTTAAGGCGCTTTTAGAGATTTTACTTTTTAAAGTGAAGATAAGCCTAAACAACAACAAACAAACAAAAGTTATTCTGCTTCTAAACCATAGTATTTATGCTTTGTCCACATTACTGTTTTTTTGGAATGTTTTATTTGTTTCACAGATTTTTTTTTTCCCAGATAAAAACAATAATCAAAAATGTAATTGTTAAGAAAATAGTGTTTTGACCTCACTGTAAGTTTTAGAATGTATGTCACATTTAAGGAAGCTGATGTGAGATGTGTGAATCCAATGCTTGTTTTGCCACTCAATAAGATTGTGGGCATTTGAAGGTAATTGCTGCTTTGAACTTGAGTTTTGTTTTAGTTTTTTTTTTGTCCGCCGCTTTTTTTCCAAATGCGCCCCCCCCCCCCATTGTGCACTACAAAACCATAATAAGAAAATGAGTTCTGACTCATTCCAGTAAGTACAGTGAACCCTCGCATATTCACGATGTGGCATTCACGTATTCATGATTTGTTGTTTTTGTTTGTTTACAGTGTTTTGTTTTCGGTCTTACCCTCTGTTATTCGCTGAAAAACTTACCCTCATTATGGCGGGGGAGGAGGGTCTTGTTGGTCTTGTTTACGGCCACCTGTTGGAAAACTATCTTTTTTTTTTCATGCGTAATTTAAATGCCACGATTAACGTGGCAATGGTTGTTAAGGAAGCGGCTGCTAAGTTGTTTTTCTAACACGGTCTTGGGAAGGTCATGATCTAAAACATTCTTGCAATGGGTCAAAAGGTCTGTGGATGCGATGTCAATCAGGTCAGACTTGTTATGATTCAATTCGTTCACGGTATTGAATGCATTTGCACATGTATCGATAAATTGGTTAATTTCATCCTTTATAAAAAAATAATTATTAATCAAGTGTGGTGCTAACCCACACACTTTGGTAGGGTGGATTTGGATTTGTGGCACTCACTTGTTTGTTTTGGGCATCACCCATTCCAAAATGTCAAATTCTATCAACTACATGATTGATAATCAAGCAGGCACAAGAATTGCAAGCCAAATATTGGCTCATCCCAACAAGTCTGGGGTGAAATTTTCAGTCAAGAAGATTAGAGACACTTGATGAAAACCGCAGTCCACTGAAGCTTTAAAACCCAGTTTAAGGTACTACTAGTATCCTTTGTTTTCACAATTCAGTGCCCGAGTAGCAGGGCACACAAAAACCGCGGTTTATTTTGGGGACATGCGGTAAATGCACAAGCCGCTTTCCATACCAGTTTGGTAACAAAATATCCTCCGCTGAGTTCTCTCTCCACGTCCGTTGTGTTCATTCGAGCTGCTTGCCGTCGCAATTAAGAACTATGCATGTACATTTCTTGACACGCTAAGGTGTATCACTTAATGGTTGATTAGTTGGGATAACACTGTTGTCAGGATACATTTTCTGCAGTTACTTCTGTCCCACGCTGCTTCCGAGAAATGGCTCCCTTCCGAATTTGATAGACTGTATCACAAGCATCGACGGCGTCCACCAGTCGAAGTTGTGAAGAGGGAAGGAAGTACTGTGTAAATATACTGTGCAGGAGGGGGCGGGGCTTAAACTTAAGTGTTGTGTTGACCTCAGTGGTGTTTAAACAATAACAAAAAAAAAACTGTTCACTTCCTTGGGGTCGCTCTTATGTCCCGCCCAGTTGAAATGTTTACTGTACTCTTTGATACTGGAAGGCCAGATATTTCTAGAGCAGAATTTGGATTTTATGCAAAATGTTTTAATTTCAATTAAAAGCAATAAATGGAGAAAAAAAAAATGTTGTCATCAATATCAGAATCGTGCTCCATTCAAATGTGCTTTATTTCCTCACTGTTCCACAAAAGTTACGCCATTTTTTTTTTTCACAGTTTTTCTATGCTCCAGTGAAACCACACACTTAAGAATCGTCAGCGGAGCGGCCGTGTGGTCTAATGGTTAATGCAGTGGCCTCTCAGTGCAGGGTTCAATTCCATCTGCGGCAAGTTATTACTGTTTCACAATGTTCCAATTAAAATAAACAGAAAACACTCACTGAAGAGTTATGAGCAGAGCGACCTGGTGGTCGGCTGGTGAAAGCATTGTCCTTTCAATGCAAAGGTGCACGTTTCGATTCCGGTTCCGGCTTTCCTTTGTGGGTTAATGAAAGATGCAGACTTTGTGCCAATCACTGCTAGGTGCATTAGAGTAGCAATAGGTTGGTAGGAAGGCATCCCTGGTGGTTGACTGGTTAAAGCATTGGCCTCTCAACGCAGAGGTCCAGCTGAGGCAAGTTCTTACTGTTTTTCAATGTTCCAATTAAAATAACCACAAAAAACTGAAAAGACACCAGTACAGCGGCCTGGTGGGTGAATAGTTAATACAATGGCCTCTCAGTGCAGAGGTGTGATGTTCGACTCCGGCTCTGGCTTTGATTGTCACGCACATTGCCTGACGAACATGGTTGTTTCTTTTGGGCAAAAACGTATATGACCACGTATAGTAAGAGGTTTTGGAACGAAAAAAAGACCACATATAGTAAGGCGTTGTGAGCCGGAAAAAACAACCATATATCGTCAGGCGTTTTGGCCGAAAAAAAACGACCATGTATATAGTATGCCGTTTTTGGCCGAAAAAAACGACCATGTATACTATGCCGTTTTTAGACCAAAAAAACGACCATGTATAGGAAGGCATTTTTAGCCGAAAAAAAACGACCATGTATAGTATGCCGTTTTGAGCTGAAAAAAACGACCATGTTATAGTATGCCGTTTTTGGCACGAAAAAAACGAC